GGCGGTCGGAGCCCGCGCTGCCCTGCGCCCTGCCCGCCGCGGCGGGCCCAGCCCGCGGGGCCCGCACCGACACGCTCTGAGAATGCGCCTGTGACTGGAGCGCGGTGTTTACTTACACCTAAGGTGTGGTATGTACACTGAGTCAGTTACTCCGGTGCGAGAGGTTGACTTAATGTTTCTAGCTCTGCTGGTTTTGCAACCGAGAGGGGCAGAATTTGTTGTTTTTCATGGAAACAGATTTGGATATTACATAACTGCGGGAGCTGGAGCCACGAGCATGTGCCTAGGCCTTAATTCCTTTTGCCTAAGGATACATCAACCTTGTTGACGAAGTCCTGTGTGAAAAGTGCAGAAAGCAACTGCTCCTTGTAATCATACTTCAAATCCTTTTACAGCACACTATTCCCATTATCCCATTTGTCTGTGTCAAAGGGACAGAGTTTGGCTTTTGTATGGACAGATAAAGCTTCCTTCCACATCTCAAAAAAGAACCAAACCAACAGCTAAGCCCTTGTGGGCAACAAGTAATTATTACCTAACTTTCTGTAGTAATGAAGACATACATTACTAATTGCTTGTTACACCCTCTGTCAAATATGTCCTTTGGCTCAACTTGCATGTTTTCGTTTGTTACCACAATTCAGGAAGAGTGTACAGGGCTAAATGTAAATAAAAATAAATAGTGATGATACGTCTTGTTCAGTAATCTGCTTTAGGACCCAGGTTGGCCTTTAGTGAACTGCTTTTGGAGACATTTTATCCTCTATGGGATTTATTTTCTGAAGCAGGAGCTTGCTGAAACGGGTTGTAGGTTTAGTTATGTGAGCTCTGTAGCAGTAATACAAGCAGAGCATTAAAGGTGACCATGGAATAAAATCAACGTGGTGTGTTGAGGGTAAGGGCCTGATCCACCTTTTTTTGTTGTTGTTAAATAAGAACATTCCATAGCTTAAGGCTACAAGCCAGACCTCTTACAGGGAAAAGGGGAAAAAAGGAAATTTGGCTTGGTATTGGGAGAGTATATGAAAAACAGCCCCTCATCACAGCAAGAGTTTCGAGTCACTCTTGTGCTGGTGGTACCTGCCCAAGCATCACTTGAACTGGCCCAAGCTGAGCTTTCTGCTTTGATACCCACTCACACCTGCAGCAAGACTGCCTCATGCTTCGTGCTGGAACTGCAACTGATTTTCTTACTTCTGGATTTTAAACCCTCACCCATAGTGCCTATTGGCTTTTGTAAATCTTACACACACATTTTTGCTGCTCACAAGGGGGAACGTATTAAA